CAAGGGACTGACACTTTGAGGAAAACCCTGTTAATCATTTATTGGATATTTCTCTACTGAAAACAAGATAAACTTGTGCTATAAACAGATTAATTTTCTTAAGCAGATGATGGTGTTATGTCTTTCAGTGCTAATACATTTAAGGCCTGCAAATTTCAATTTGACTAGAACACAGAAGAGAAGCGACACACAAAATGAGGTCTTCTCGTTTAATAGTATAGATGGTTGTGCCCAATAGGAAAAAAGGTATTAGGAATTTATTTGCAGCAGAGTCATAAGTACAATGTACCTAGACTGCCCTGACCAGCTATCACTAACTTTTTAACACTTTCCATCTATAAAGACTATCATGTCTTGATTTAATATTTTTACAATTTACTTGGACATAACACGCCAACATGCCTCCACCAACAATTTTAACATAATAATGTATTAATTATGCATGGATATTTTTTCTTCGTAAAAATCAATTTACCAGCACTCAAGAATACAAACTTACAATTAAACTATTTAACTGGAAATTTCTCAAAGGTTTGTGCTTTGGCTCATTTTTCTTTGATGATACAAAGTCTGCTGTGGAGCCTCATCATAACCTCTCATCAAAGGATATGTAAGTATTATGAAACCAACATGGCACAAATCAAAAATAAGACAAAAGTTCTTTTGAAAGCTTTTATTTTAGACCTGCTTGTCAAGCACTATTCCTATTGAGTCAGTCTATACAAGAGTTAACAAAATCTATGGCTTATCTTTATAAACAAGCCCTGTGATCTCTTTGTAACCATGAAGTAAGTATCATGTACCAGTACTTGATTGCCAAGTGTCCATTGTTACTTAGAATCACTCACTCACACTCGATTATACTTGATTGGGAAGTGCCCCTTGTAGCTTAGAATCAGCAATTATACTTGATTGTGTCCTTTTTATATACTGACACTGTTTCCATGAAAAAGACATCATGGGCTAGTCAATATGTATTTTCTGATCTTGATTCCTCTAGTTAAACTTCCAGAAATGAAATTGTCTTAAAATTTTCCTTCCTTCCAATCTAATTCTTATGAAGCATTACTGAACAAAGGAAATCTGTTAGAATAAAAATATATAGTATTTACAGGGTAGCACACATTTTCATGCAATTAAAAGTCAATTTTAAACAGGAAGTATTTACTGATGTGCCCCTCTACAAACAAGGAAAATTTGCAAAACAAAAACCCCCAAAACCTAAACATTTGAACCAAAATGACACTACCTTTTATCATTGACTGGAAAGAGCCTTGGATTAAAGAATAAAATCTACTCTCTAATTAAAGGCAGTGGTAATGGAGGAGACAACATTGTAGTTTTCTCAATAATTGGAATAAAAAATGAAGAAAAATCATTCATTCAAAACATTTTTTTTTTTTTTAATTTGGTTGTCAGTTAAGTAATGGGCAGAATTTTTCATACTTTTGAGCACATATATTTGATTGTGAGTCATATCTAACATCTTAGAATAAAACAAACAGATTAGTTCTGTCAAGATAAAGGACAGCAATTTCTTGAATTGAAATGTGTGTTACCAGGTTGGGGAGGGGGGGGGGGGGGGGGGGGGGGGTTTGCGCCCACTAACAGGTTTAACCTTGCCACATGCATTCTGTATGTGCATGTCCCTAGTCAGGGCTTTTCGTTAAATCAGCAATAGTGACAGTTCATCATGGATATGATTTTATAATAAATAGTTAAAAATCTGACAACAATGATTTCAGTTTATAATTTTTTTTATTATTTGAAAAAAATCTAACACTGAACTGGAGTGAAGTTATATTTTAACCATTAATCTTCTCATATATATAATTAAATCTTGGCAACTATGGAACTTGTCTGAAGAACAAGTACTGATTATATTTTACAGCTCTAAAGTTAGATATTTCCTGATTTGGTTACGTGGGCTACCAGACTTACAAGTATGGTAATTCAGTTAATATACATCAATATGTCTTACAAGGTTTGGAAACATTGTAATTAAATCACCATTAAAATTTTCAGTTGTTAAAAATCTGATTTCAAGATTTACCAATAGTCAAATATATTTTTTGAATTCCTTTAGCTGTCTTTAATAGATTCAACAGATAAATAATAATACAATGCCATCTTCTGGCATTACTGACAAACATATCAATTCATTATTAGAGCAGAGATTTTTAAAACATATTCAGTTAAACAGTCAATTGAATCAATGTTAAAGATGTATTTCAGTAAAATTTGTGAACATGTTTTCTGTATCAATCCAGCTCTTGTTTAAGCATTTGCAGTAAGTTAAAAACACATCAAATCTTTTACATATATGTAAAGTCTAAATAGTGATTATGTCTTCATAGCATGAATTACAACTTTGAAAGGGTAGGAGTTGGTATTTCAAAATTTGACCTATGTATGTATACTTCTACTGATGAAATTATAATATAAATAACTATGAAGGATAAATCTAACAGGATTCAAATAGAATGTGTGACCAGACTTCTATATATATATTTTTTTTAGAAAGAATGCATTCCAGGTTAAAGATATCATAGGACCCAATCCCATTAGTCGATAACAAACTGAAAATGCCACGTCAAAAAACAAAAAAAAAACAACCAAGACAAACAACAGTAAACAAAACACAACATAGAAAACTAAAGGCAGAGCAATAACAACCCCACTAAAAACAGGGGGTGATCTCATGTGCTTGGGAAGGGTAAGCAGATCCTGCTCCACATGTGGCAACCATTATCTTTCTCATTGAAGTACAAAACCGGTGATAACTCTTATTATCAAATGTCTCATTTGAGGAAAAGAGGATGGGATTGTGGTTAAGATAAATGGAACATATCTGTGATCATCTGTGAAACAGATATTTCATTATGGTCAACCAACTTGTGATGGTGTCCATGACAGATGTCTTTTCCCTGGAAAGAATATTGCAGAAAAGATTAAATTTTCACTCTACAAAGGATATCATCGGAAGAATAGAATGACATGATGGGATACTCTCAAAAACTACTGTAAGACCGAATGATATCAATATCAAAAGGATCATGCAGGTCTTTATGATACTGTGGATTCATTTATTTTCATGAGTACCAATTTTCGTGGATTAGGACTTTTTTTGTGGATATTTGGTTTCATGGTTTTACCAAAGTCTGCATACAAGCCTATAGAAAATTTGTACTTGGTTTAACATTTAAATTCGTTGTTCACCTTTACTGACGAATTCAACGAAAATTGGTAGCTAATGAATAATAATGTATCCACAGTAGATACCCTAAAAAATGTTGTATGACAGCAGACAATCTGTTCCCTCATTTTTGTGAGACTGCATGAATGAATCTCTGAAATAATTCTGTAGGAATAATAGATGTTTAAATAGGGACCGAATTAGTAAATATATTTTCAAAAGATGGCAGATCGATGTGATTATATACAGCATAAAGGGTTATACTCTCTTATGTACAGAAAAAGCAGATAAATGAACGTGTGAAAGACATTTCACTGAAAGAAGTATCTGGTGGATCTTTTGTAACAACTGCTTTTGTACTTTTACTGATCTTTACATATCTAATTATGCATAAATTGGTTGATCATTTGCTCAGTTAAAGATGAAATTCAGAGTAAATTTACGGATGTAGCTAGGAATTTAAATGAGAAATTGATTAAGTAATCAGTTACATAACAGTGTTAAAAAATACTGGACTTCCCTTGATCAATGATGTCTTGGAAACTAAAATGTCTCATTTTATGGTTACAAACTGTTTTAAAACCGAATAAATGTATTCGGTCACATAACCTTGTCTTTGATATCTTGCATGACATGTACAATATGTAATAGAATTAGTGAAAATAATCAGACCTAGGATATGCATTTTTTCTAATGTATTGTAGTTTTCCTTTTCAACCAGTTCATATGTTTTGACATCAACTTTTTTTCTCTTATATATCTATCAAAATTGTAGCCTTTGAAAACTATCATATTTTTAAATTAGTACTAACATGTAAATTTGCCATAGAGTGAATTAAGGTTAAGGAAGGGAATTCTTTTTTTCAAAAACATTTTCCTCTTTAAAGTAAGCTATATATATATGTACCAGGTGTTAACCCCAGTCTTTAGTCAGACATGCACACATATGACCTCAGTTATTTCTGTTATGTTTTCACATGCATCACCACAGATTATTTGGTGACATCTCAAGTGATTATCTGCACTATAATTTCATGATTTAATTATATCTTCATGGAATTAATTAAATCCACATCTTATTTAACATAAGTGACAGTATTATTTACTTTCTTTTCAAGCCATTAACTGAATTTTACTAACAACAATATTCTTTAGACTGATTAAACTTATAATTGTCCAGCAGCATTGCACCAATTTAGAAACTGTTGCATTATGGATATGATTACTGTTTTGAATGCTGAGAGGACACTTGATTGTGCACAAGGGAATTTAAGATGGTTACATAATATATAATAAAGATAACAGCAACTACCAAAAATATTTGACAGAACAACAGACCGCAATAACCACCAACAACTGATTCCTCTGAAAAAATAGACATACAAACAATTTTTCAAAGACAAACAACAACATCTATACCAATTTTATTTTCCTTCTGAGAACATTGTAACTCATAAATGCTGTTTACAGTAGCTAGGCCTTCATATTACATTTTGTAACTAGTACCGATCAAACATTACCTTAGTAGATATCATACTTTTGTAACCAAACTGAGCTAAAGTTATAATGATCTATAATTGTTTAATCATAAAGATGAGAACTTGATACATTTTCAAACATGAGAAAAGGATCAATAAAAATATTGATAAAGTATATTTCTAAACAAATCCAATTGGTTCATCATCCTTTTTTCTGATATTGTTTGATGTATAAAGTGGATGTCAAGTTTGAATATTTGAAGCTTCAAAAAGGTGGGAAAGCATATTATCTATTCAATAAGCCTAATAAAAGAGGTTACACTTACATCTAATGATCATTATGAAATGTGTTTTCTTGTTTCTGATAGACATCTAAGGATGATTATGTCCATTTAATTTCTTGTAAACTTTCCCCTTTATTGCTGACTTCCTTTGAAGTGGTTACTTAACCTTTCCTTGTTCAATAATTCTTTACTTTACATTGTAAGTATTTTGTCCTGCAATTAAAAATAAACGGTTCATAACACTAACACATTCCAATGGAAATTAACAGTCAGTTTTATCTGTACTAAATACTAACATCTACAAAAAAGTTACTTTCTGTAACTAACTTTAATGGAATCCCAGCACCTTTTGGTCTAAAAATTAAAGTACTCCAAAATGAGGCGAAAAGTATGTGTAAAAATATTGAGCACAAGCAAACACATAAACAAATATTTGCATGCAAGGTGTTGTTCATATAGAAAAACATAGTGGCAAATTATTTAGTTGGTTACTTGCTTTTACTATGTACTTCTGTGTCCACAAACAAGTTGAAAATTTTTCAAAATCTATGCCTTTTTTTCAGATGCATAGAAGGGCCTTTCCTGGAAACATAAGGCAAAATAAAGTCTTATCACATGATATTATTAATAAATGTTTTCAGCAAATTGGAAATTGAACACAGAAGTGTCACACAGTATAGCATAACCAAATGAATCAGATGACTTGTAGTTGCTGAGAAAAATGTGAAAAATATGAAGTGCAACAATTTAAAGGAACGAGTTTCCCTTCTTTGTTGCAGGAGTATAAAAAAATAAAGGCTTACAAACATAAAAATCAAGAGGTCAACATATTGCCCAGCATAACAGTTGCTTTTCCAATGCAAAAAACTTGTATGAATTATTTTCTTTTGCTCAGATCTTGAAATTCAATAAAATAAGCAATTCAGCCCCTCCACTAATTACATAGATAGTCAAGGTCTCAGATTCTTAAAGTGGCAATACAACAGTCGTCTGAACTGATAAACTTAAACAGTAATTTCAATTATGTTGTTTTTTACAATACGTTCCATTAATCAATATTTGACCTCCAATATAAAAATTAATTCTTTTTTGTTTTAGTATCACTGTCTGCTTCTCAGATAGATTGATACTGAATGAAATATTTATCAAATCTAAAAATAGTTCTTGAGAAAATTGCTTCTTTGATATGTTCAATTGCGTCATTAGAAGGAAGACTAGATAAAAAAACTTTTAACACTGTCTCAGCTGTTTTTTGTTCCTACATAATCCCAAGCTTAAACAATTGGTGATACCCTGATGCCAGAACACCATGCACGAGAGTCCCTTCCTTGACTGGTGGCAGGACTATTTTGGCAGATAGAATATTCATTTTCACCAGCTGTTCGAGAATGTGTTATAATTTGGCATGGTCAAGTGATTTTGAACACAATTATTTGCTGCTTTTTATGGGACAGAATATATATTTTTACCCTGTATAGAACAATATTATTTATTTTCATTTCTTTCCAGTCGAGATATTCATATCTAAAATCTTCTTTTTATACTGATTAGTGATCTTATGACAGGTGAAAATTATAATGATAAATCTTGATATTATTTACCCCATAAGTTTGGAAGCAAGAGTATTTTTTTTATTTTGGTTCTGATTAAGCATTTGATTAAATAATATTACTAATTACACTTTCATGCAATAGAACAGGTGCCACATGTGGAGCAGGATCAACTTACCCTTCTGGAGCATCTGAGATCCCCCTGCTTTTAGTGGGGTTCATGTTGCTCAGTCTTTAATTTTAGATGTTGTGTTTTGTGAACTGTTGTTTGTCTTTACGTTGTTATTGTTTTATGCCATGGCATTGTCCATTTGTTTTTCGACTCAGGAGTTTGAATTCCTCTTTGGTATCTTTTGCCTCTCTTTTACTTTCCTAAAACCAGATAGAGCATCTGATGAAAGAATACAGTTTATTAAAAACTGTGTACTTTAAACTGTTACTAACAAGGAAAACATCATGAACACCTACTTTACTATTTGCCCATAAATGTCAGTCAATGTGTCCACAATCAAATAAGCCTTGCTAACCTGTTAAGAAACAATTCCAATAGAAAGAAGTATATTGTGATTTTTATTCTAAATTGAACTTGAAAAACTAAATTGCCTATTTGCTTCTCCTGGAACCCTGTCAGTCTGTGAGAAAATGTCATTTAAAGAAAAGATATTACACTATAAAGTAATTGATCATTGCTATTTTAACAATTGTAAGTTTGACAAACGTCATTCAAAACTAAGTAAATACCATCCCATAACTGACACAAAAAGAGAGAAGATAAATGGAATATTGCTTAATATATCTAAAAATTATAAATGAAATATGAATAAATTCAGAATTTTTGTACAAACAGTACAATACTCAGCTCAATCAAATTGTGAAAACATGTCTTTTCTTTATTTTTGGAAATCAATCACTAAATAAATTTGTTTCAAAAACTGAAAAAGAATAATGCTGAATACATGATATTCAAAATGATAACTGTAAAAAAGGATAATGACTTCAATTTCTGCAAAATTGGGGACGTCATGAAATAGAAAAGTAATTGAACATTTGTTTGGGTGCCAAATCTTACAAGACATATGATAGATGACAGAGATTGAGGTCTTCCCAGAAAATCTTTTGAGATCTTGGAAAGATTAATGATAAAAAAGTGAGACTTGCAATGACATTGGTTACAAGAATCGATTTGAGCAATGATGTAACGCAAAAACATATTTTTTTGCTCTATAAACTTAATAGAATTATAAGATCCTTGCCCAGTTACACATTATCAAAAATTACTGCATTAGAACAAGTAAGAAACAGTAGTATAATTTAAGCATACAAACAGATGGCACAGTCCAAAATAAGATTCATTTACTCTAGGGACCAAAATGTATTAGAAAGAAGAGAAAGAAAAGTCATTTAAATTTTTAATTAATTTTGCTAACTTTTTTTATTTAAACACTACAAATGAGTTTAATACACACAGAACACATGTCTGGCACTACTATGCCTATGTTACTACTGGTGGACATATTGTCCCAAGAATATCACAATGCCTAATAGTCAGTGCTCCTAAGCTGGTACATCTTATCATGTACACAGTAACTGTTAATAAAATATAACCAAGAGTGCACACACTGAAATGTCTTGCCTGCTTTACTGACCATTGATTTTATGTCAATAGTCGTAAATACAAAGTTTTACTACAAGTATCACATAAACTAAACAAGATCCATTAAAATGAGGTCAAGGTCAGATCAACCAAGCCATAAATACATGTTCACCTTACAATCATTCCATAAACCAAATACAGTTGACTTATTGCTTATAGTATACAAAAGAAAGACCAAACCATGAAAACTTTATGTTGACCAATGAACCATGAAAATAAGGTCAAGGTCAGATGAACTCTGCCAAACAGACATGTACACCTTACAATCAATCCATGCATTAAATATAGTTATCTATTGCATATAGTATCTAAGAAATAAACTTATTCAGGAAAACTTAACATTGACCAATGAATAAGGTCAATGTCAGTTACCTGCCAGACAGACATATACATCTTACAATCATCCATACACCAAATACAGTTGATCTATTGCTTATAGTTTAAGAAAAAGAAACCAAAACACAAAAACTTAACATTGAGCAATGAATTGTGAAAATGAGGTCAAGGTCAAATAAAACCTGCCAGTTTGACATGTTCATCGTAAAATATTTCCATACACCAAATATAGTTACAGTATTAGAAAAACAGACCAAAGCACAAAAACTTAATCTTAACCACTGAACCATGAAAATGAGGTCAAGGTCAGATGACACCTGCCAGTTGGACACAACACCTTACAATCATTCCATACACCAAATATAAGACCTATTGCTTATAGTATCTGAGATATGGACTTGACCATGCAAACTTAACCTTGTTCACTGATCCATAAAATGAGGTCAAGGTCAAGTGAAAACTGCCTGACAGGCATGAGGACATTGCAAGGTACGTACATAACAAATATAGTTATCCTATTACTTATAATAAGAGAGATATTAAAATTACAAAAAATCTTAACTTTTTTTTCCAGTAGACACTGACCCATGAAAATGAGGTCAAGGCCAATGGACATATGACAGATGGAAACTTCATAACATGAGGCATTTATATACAAAGTATGAAGCATCCAGGTCTTCTACCTTCTGAAATATTAATTTTTTAAGTAGTTAGTTAACACCGCTGTTGCCGCCGCCACCTCCCATCACTAAATAATCCCTATGTCTCGCTTACTGTGACAGAAGTCGCAGGCTCGACAAAAATCATTCAAAAAACTTAAGACTTTAATAGACAAATTTTCAGGTCTGATGTTGTGGTCCTATTTCTTTAATTTAATCTAGAATTCTGCACTGGATATAATGAACTCTACCTATTAGTGTAGTCATTTCCTACAGCAGAAATCATTTTTATTAAACTATCATGACCTTTATGTTTGCATTAAAAATCAAATTCACTACAAATACATATTCCAAAATTAGAACCTTAATTTACAAAAAAAAATGATGCCATGGTGATTTAAATGATGACAGCTTGATTTGTAGGACAAAATTATTTGATTTTGATTGGGAATTGATTTTTAAACTGGAGAAAGCAAGTAAACCTTAGGCTTAATATTAACTTTAAATAAGCATCCTTCATTTTCTCATTTTAGTTTTATCAAATTTGATACAAATGTACTAGCAAGTTGTGAAAAGAATATATGATATATAATCGTAGTTCTATAAAAAAATCAAATTACATGTTTAAAATATTCTGAGGGTCATAATCAGAAGACAGTGATAAACACACGTTGGGTAAAACATCTGGATGTTCAGCGGAAAGCAAATTCTCAGGGTCAAAACCCTAATTTATTATATAATTTTAGAGGTTCACATCATAATGATATGTGTTATATGTTCCAAGTTGATGTCACAGATGTTTATTGTAAATAACTGTAATCAAAAGTTTAACCTGATACCCACTATCACATTTACGTGTTCAATGGAAAGCAAATTCTGGGTCAAAACCCAAATTTGGTGTAAATTAAAAAAAAATATCATAATAAACATGTGTACTAAATTTCATATTGTTGTAACCACAACTTCATGGTAAACTACCTAGACTATGAGGTTTGTGTTTCCTATGATGATTTTTTGATAGAGGGTTATACTGCTTACATAATAAGTTCCAAATGCCAGGTAAACTCAAAAGTCATTCCTTCACAAGTTTTAGGAACAACATCATGATTTTGTTGACCATTTAAAGAATATCTGTGTAAGATGACAAGATATAATCCTCTATTCCTAGATTGTGACAATACCAAACATGACATATCCACATTTTTACATCAGATTACCGTGAGGGCATTCCGGTGTATTGTTGCTACCGACATTTCTACCCAAGTGACTTTCGTTTTTGACTGATAACCGAACGCAAAATAACATTCCTTATCGCTTGTTATATATCAATTTCATCAATAAATATTCATAAAAATAATTTTTAAGAACATAGATAAATATGAAAATGTTTTGTCGCGAGAAATATATATATATATATATATATATCAATAACAAATCAAGAATACCGAAAATTTGAGTTAACGCATGCGGAAGAATATCTCAAGAACTTTTTGTGGGAAAATATGAATGCCTTCTCAAATCCAATCTATTAGAAAAATCGAATTATTACAAAAGAGTGTCCACTATGCACTTGCACTCACTATTATTAGAATAGTAGAATAGAATGATATACAAATGGATGAAAATTATATATACATGTAACTGTTTTCATGATACAAATATTAATATAATATATAACAAAAAACCAGAGTATACTGATTTGTATCACTACAATATAATAGTTATTACGGTGAGGTTGAATTCCCTGTCATTTATTCATCATCCACGCACTAACTTATCTCTGAAAAAAATATACCTATGTACCTTAACCTCACTTTCAGGTATAGAGATGTGATTTTTTCTTCTGAGACAAGTACTTGCAACCATCCACAAGAACTTGCGGTCATCCGATGTTCAGTACTTCAGTACTTTGATTCTACTTGCAATGAGTACATAACTGGTGTCACTACTGAAGCAGGAACTGTTAACCATTGGGAACACCTGAGTTCACAATCCAAGATTTTTGTGGGGTTTGTGCTGGTCAATCTTTAGTTTTCTGTGTAATGATTTGTTATCTAAGACCCCGTTTACACTTGTACGAAATTGAACCAATCTTTATTTGATTCCATCTTAAAAAGACCAGTTCGCTTTTACATTTGCACCACCAACTAGATCGATCTTATAAATACACTGCAACATAAAAAGAACCGGTCTGACCTAATCACCCTACATTTCGTAAACAAACAATCATAAAAATAGAATAGTATGATAACGTGTGCATCTTGCATGGAAAATCACACATTGAAAATCAGTGAGAAAATAGTTGGATCATTGGAATTTCGTATGCAGTTATTAATTATCTTTTTGGTTCGCACGTCACAAGTCATTAAACAAAGAAATGAGAGAAGACTATCACTTAATAAACTGCTTCACTGAGCGCAGCTGGATACGCCCGCAGAGGTCCAACCCTGAACAGTTGGGGCAAAAATGGACACAATATTCAAGCTTGATTCAGGTCTGAATTTGGATTGTAATTAAATATTTGACATATTATAGGTTTCTGAATAAATTTAGTCAAAGAACTTGAAATTGGTTATATGGATTGAATTTATATTCAATTAAAGATTTCGTGCTGTTGTGCAATACACTGTGCTTTTGCGCAATACTTAGTAAATCTGTTGTCAGACTATAAAGAAATAAAGTTCAATTAATTCTCAATGTCATATTAGAAATTTATGAAAATGTACATCAATAGATATAAACAATTCACCAAAGTTTCATGAAAATTGCTGACAGCATTTTTGAGTTATTGTCCGAAAACTGGAAAATCCCCCTTTTTTAATAAATTAAACCCCATAACTCAGAAATGATAAATGAAAAATTTATAAAATTCTAAACGGAGCTTACATCAATAGTTATAAACAATTCACCAAAGTTTCGTAAGAACTGCTGAAGTTATTGTCCATAAACTGGAAAATCCCCCCTTTTTTAATGAATAAAACCCCATAACTCAGAAATGATAAATGAAAAATTTATAAAATTCTAAAAGGAGCTTACATCAACAGATATAAACAATTCAACAAAGTTTCAGAAGAACTGCTGAAAGCATTTTTGATTTTTTGTCGGAAAACTGGAAAATCCCCCTTTTTTTATGAATAAAACCCTGTAACTCAGAAACGTAAAATCTAAAATTTATAAAAATTGAAAGGGAGCTCATGTCAATAGATATAAACAATTCACCACAATTTCTTGCAAGTTGGTGAAAGCATCCTTGAGTTATTGTCAGAAAACTGGAAAATCCCCCTTTTTTTAATGAATAAAACCCCATAACTCGGAAACGTAAAATCTAAAATTTATAAAAAACAAAAGGGAGCTCACGTCAATAGATATAAACAATTCACCAAAGTTTTATGCAAATTGGTTAAAGCGTTTTTGAGTTAATGTCTGACATGTTGACGACGGACGGACAGACGGACGGACGGACAGACGGACAGACGGACAACGGTATACCATAATACGTCCCGTAAACGGGCGTATAAAAATGAAAGGTCAATGCATTTGAAGATGAGGATTTGCAGCAAAGAAATAGAATTCATCGATTCAGAAGAATGATGAAATAAAAATGCTCCGCTGGGGCGCAGCTTGATACGACCGCAGAGGTCGAACCCTGAACAGTTGGGGCAAGTATGTACACAACATTCAAGCTTGATACAGCACTGAATTTGGATTGTAATTAAATATTTGACACAGCATAGGTTTCTGACACAGAATGAATGTGGTCTAAGAACTTAAAAATTTTTAATTTACCTATTCAAACCATATCATTATTATTTGCTTTTATATATAAATCAGAAATAACCAATTTAAAAATGGAAAATTTTAAAGAAAAAAACAACCCCCCCCCCCCCCAAATTTTTTGAACCCCCTTATGATTCATCAATCCCAAGCTCAATCCCAGCCTTCCCTTTGTGGTATGGTACCTTGCAGTACAATTTCAGAGAGATCCATACACTTGAACACAAGTTATTGTCTGGAAACTAGAAAAATGCTTGTTTTTTGGCCCCTTTCCGCCACTAATTCCTAAACTTTTGAGGCAATTACCCCCAAAATCAATCCCAGCCTTCCCTTTGTGAAATGGAACCTTGCAGTACAATTTCATAAAGATCCATACACTTACACACAAGTTATTGTCCTGAAACTAGAAAAAATCTTGTTTTTTTGCCCCTTTATGGCCCCTAATTCCTAAAATTTTGAGGCAATTACCCCCAAAATCAATCCCCAGCCTTCCTTTTGTGGTATGGTACCTTGCAGTACAATTTCAGAGAGATCCATACACTTGAACACAAGTTATTGTCTGGAAACTAGAAAAATGCTAATTTTTGGCTCTATTTTGGCCCCTTATTCCTAAACGTTTTGGGCAATTACCCCCAAACTCAATTCCAACTTTCCCTTTGTGATATGGAACCTTGTAGTACAATTTCATAAAGATCCATACACTAACACACAAGTTATTGTCATGAAACTAGAAAAATGCTTGTTTTTTGCCCCTTTTTTGGCCCCTAATTCCTAAAATTTGGAGGCAATTACCCCAAAATCAATCCCAGCATCCCCTTTGTGATATGGAACCTTGTGGTACAATGTCAGAGAGATCGGTACACTTACACACAAGTTATTGTCATGAAACTAGAAAAATGCTTGTTTTTTGCCCCTAATTCCTAAAATTTGGAGGCAATTACCCCCAAAATCAATCCCAGCATTCCCTTTGTGATATGGAACCTTGTGGTACAATGTCAGAGAGATCCATACACTTACACACAAGTTATGTCTGGAAGTTACAAAAATGCTTATTTTTGGCCCCTTTTTGGCCTCTAATTCCTTAACTGTTAGTACCATAACCTCCAAAATCAATCCCCACCTTCCTTTTGTGGTATTGAACCTTATGGTAAAATTTCATAGAGATCCATTCACTTAAACTAAAGTACGAGTGCGAAAACCAATGTGTCTTCGGACGACGACGCCAACGTCATACCAATATACGACCGCAAAAGTTTTTGCGGTCGTATAATAACGACGGAATCTATATTTACTGTCCTTATCCCATCTATTGTTTTTGCCGCCGAACAAGCGCAGATTTATTTTCATATCTAAATACAACATTCACTAGATCTAAGCGTTTACACGTGAAGAAAGATTGAACTTTTTAAAACCACCTCTGGAGGTGGACTTTTAAAGTCAGATTAAAGATCGATCTGTCCTGTTTACATTAGACTAAAGATCGATCTCAGGAAATATCGATCTTTTTTACACGTGTAAACGGGGTCTTACTGGGAAGTTTATCTTTTTATAAATTTTTATTGGACTCATGATTTTTGATAACTTTAATAACTTGATACAGGATGGATGCACAGATCAGAAAACATAATGCCCTCTTACTATCGCAGAAAGGTATAATAAAAAACCAACAAAAAAAACAACAATTTCAGGTTCATTAAACACTGAAATTAATACCTTTATTTAAATTATTCTTGAACCACTCATTTCTTTTCTTTAATAACTAAACCCTACAAAAGTGACAAGTGGTTATTGTACAGTCACATCAATACACTAATGACCAGCACTATTATTGCCTATTCTTCTCAAGTATATCTTAACAACTTTACCAATAAATCAACCAAACATCTTGTTCCTGTATAATTTTGCAACTAAACGATTCATCTTTGACTATATGTTTCTATTTTTCTTATGCTGTCCATGTTATAGAATTTCCAATTGTTCACGCTGGGGAAATTAAGTTGCAATGCAATCTTCAAATGTGTTAGATATTGGCTTCAGTAAGAATTGGACATTAATTAGATAATCATATACAATATTCACTGTAATCAATTCTTGTAATGATCTGATGGCTATAATAACAATATTATCTCTAGACAACAGTATCACCAGACAGGACCAGAATGTAACAATTCACAATTAGTGAAAAACTTTTAACATCTTGACATTTGTATTTCTGAAAGAACTTACTTTTAGTGACTTTAAATTACTTTTCATTTTCATGTTATGTAACATTTTCAAGAATTAATGGAATCAATGGGGTAGCATACAATTCCAACTGTTTATAAAATATATTTAAAATGTTCCAGGATAAAATTATATTTCAATCAATATTATAACTAAGACCATATCAATTATTAGATCTTCAGTTCCAATATCAATTATTGTGATTAATGCTTGATATTTCCCACTGAATCAGGTCACCATAAAATCAAACATTCCAATTAAGTCATTAAAAAATGGTGTCATGAAATATCTCATGCATCCAACTGTTCCAATTACATGCTATAATGGCACTTTCTATTTATAAAGAACAAATTATTTCATGATCAAGATAATCAAAACCTACTCAACTGGTTTCTCAATAATCATAAAGCAAGACTAAGCTGTTTACATTAGAACAACTAACTATAACTGTCAAAACATTTCTGCAGTAAAGCAAAGCAAGACTGGATCCATGTGTAGAGATAAGCAATCTACAAACATCCTGGATTTTATCAGAAAAAAGAAGGAAAAATATCTACTATGACCTTATAGTTTATCTAAGACATTTGTGACAATTCCTGTTTACACACTATGTAATCTTGATGTTTTCAAACAAGTTTTTTCAAGATAACCTATGGCCTATATGTTTATCAATAATTAGAGTTAACAGAAACATGTAAACAACTCAGACACGAACAGCCACTTCATTAAAAGACAATCTGGAATTCATTCAAACTTAACAAAAAGCACTGCATAGTCTCATATGATTTTATAGATTTACAAAATAGAGAAGTATGCCATGCTTGGCAAAATTTTAGAAAGTTCACAAGTACAAGCAACTCTGGTTTAAGTGCAAAAGCTAGTTATATCTAGGTTATTATATAATTTTTTTACAAATGGTCTATCTAGAAATAAATGTCCATCAGAAATAAAGAACTAAGTTTGGTTCAGCATACTGAAGAGGGAAAGTTTAACTAGTGTATTCTAATAGAAAATGTGCACATGCCCAGTCAGTGTTCTACACTATCCATATAAGCCCACTTTTAACCCACTTGAAGAAACTGTAAGAGTTCAATCAACTAAGACTGAAAAATTGAAGGTAGTGAATTTCATAAGTGTATAAAGGGAAAAACATCAAAACTAGGTCTTAGTTATTTGAAATGTTAGATTTTGTCCTGTTTTTAGCTTTTCTTATCTTAAAGATCGTATGAACTACATATGATCTGTCATGACAACAGACAAAGCAGATTATTTCTTGAGATTTCAATGAAAAAACAAACCAATTCACACTTTACTAATGTCTTATGAAAATAATGTCTGCCATCCAATATAAATGTCCTAATCTTCAGAAGCTAAAATTCAGTCAAATCTGGATTAATAACCACTGGCACAGATGTTCATTGGTATATAAAGATAACTATGGAAATGAAACAATTAGTTTAAGGTACATAAATATCTTATACTTTTTTTTTATATTTACTGATTTTTTATATTCTGCGGTTTATAATGTAACTTAATGATTAAAATGTGTGACTGGAGCACAGGAGTCAGTTTCACAAAAATAACTAAAATTGATCATAAGTCATGAACAATTCAGTATACTTAGGATCAATCTTAGTCATAAGTTTTTTTGTGAAACCGACTCCAGCTGTTTAAAATAGTGGTTTGGGGTTTTTTCCTTTTTAACTTTCACTGATTGAGATAACTTAAACTAGAGGTTTTCAGAACTTAAACACATATCAAAATATTTAGAAAGTTTACATCAAGACTTTTTATGACATAGTGACAATTTAAAAAGAAATCTAAACCTTGCTCAGTATGGTAAGTTCTAGATTTTCCCTTAATTTTTGTATTTATGATGAAAAAGATGATTGTGCTCATAAACAGATTTACGTCTTTTTCCATAATACAATTTATACTTTTTGAATAAGACTTTCAACTAATTCATCTCAAATATCTTTATTTCCACTGAAGAATTTAACAAACTAAATGACCTTGCATCTGGTAACAGTCAGAATCAATACATGGGGTCCTATTATTTCATAATTGCAAAAAAAAAAAAAAAAAGTAATCAGTATAACAAAGCATTAACAGGTGCTAGCTAATCTGATTGGCTAAAGAATAGGTGGGTGGGTTTCTAGCACAAATCTTGCTATTATTGATATATTTCTTGATTCTGAGTTTTAAATCGGACATCACGACTGTTATAAACAAGGTAAGCTTATGTATTCAATTAATTAAGTACATTTATTTTACAATAAGAAATGAAACAAAACCAAAATAAGAAGTAGTTTATATAGCTTACTTAGATCATTAAGTTTCTAGCTGAAACTTCATTGGAGTTAAAATTAGATTAAAACTATAAGATTAAAGTTTATTCGGAATTAAAATGATAAATACAGAAAAAAGACCTTTTATTATCTAATTGAATGAGGCACCTCTATTGTAACTTTTACAATAAAAGTTCTTCTTATAACCAATATCATAATAATGAATTGGTTTAGTGCTAGGATTATCTGCCTGGTTTAAGCTTCCCTTATTTCCCATCTGTCTGTACCTGTAGCTATTTTAAGTAAGTCTTATAAATATTTATTCAAATGCTATATAAAATGACTAAATATTTGTACCACATCAAGGTAAAACTGTATAATGATGCAATGGTAAACTTTAACAGACATTTAAGGAAGGGTATACTGCTAAGTTGCAGGGGTGTAAAGGAAAAATAAAAAACTTGTCATAGCAATTTTTGTACTATATCAATATCATTTATTAGAAGATTAAGTGTTGAACACACTTCAATATGGAGACCATACACCCAAAGACACAAGAAAAGTTGTGAAACACAATAGAATGCAAGTCTAGTACGCTTATGCAGAATAAAATAAAAAAAGTAACAGGAAAGTGCTCATAGCTAAGTTTTTCTAGCCTCTTTGTATAAATGCTATTAGCAGGAGAAAGATATAAAATGAAAGGAGAATTATCATGGTAATAAATCTAACTAAATGAAATCTTCATTTTAGATAAAAAAAAAACCTGCATCAACAGAATGATAAAAAAAATCTTCTTAAAATAAGGCTTTTTATGGTAAATTCCTGTCCTGGCTCCTTGTAACTTCTTAAAGGCCAAAAACTAAATTATGATTGTGATTGGTGTGTGACCAATATTTTAAACTACATTAACAGTAAAAATTTAATAAATCTCTGCAAATGAATTTAAGGATAATATTATCTATGTATTTTTCTGACAATCTCTTTTTCAAATATGCTTTTACACTGGTAATTTTTGGTGCCCTTTATAGCTTGCTGTGCGGGGTGAGCTAAGGCTCCGTGTTGAAGACCGTACTTTGACCTATAATGGTTTACTTTTATAAATTTTGACTTGGATGGAGAGTTGTCTCATTGGCACTCATACCACATCTTCTTATATCTGTTGTCATTTAAATTAAAAAAAAAAATTAAGTGGGTTGACACCAAAACAAAGAAGAAATAATTAAAGACTTTTTATTTCATAATATTTACACAAAAACATATAAGAACCATCAGATAACATATCCAATTTTTAAAATAATTACTTTTGAATGCACTTTAGCAAGAAATATTTTTCTTCCGACTTTGTTGTTAATGCATCCATTGTACCACACTATACTAAACCCCAGTCTTTTTGTTATGAGAAGAATAATTTGTCAATAGCTTCTATCTATGTCTCTCTACATTCCATTTATTTTTCAATACATGACTTTTGTTCACAGATAAAATTGATTTCAATCTAACAGAAAAAAAGAATCTTTATGACAGTTAGATTCACTTCTTAATTTCTTCAAATAAAAATCAATTTACACTTTATATATTCTACCAAAAATCAATGGAAGAATTATTAAATGAATCTTTATGGTGGAAATCACAACAAAATCAGTGCATGCTCCGAATGTACAAAAATAAATTTGCCAAGAACATTTAGATATAAATTTCAACTCATTAATTTCCATTTGTTTCCATATTTGAACCACTTTCATAATCATGGCCATGAAAAAGTAGGAAGAAATTCAAAGGGGCAATTTACTTGAATTATTTTGTGAATTTGTCTTACTAGAAATGAATTCATAATTCAACCTAATATGATCATTGGAAGCTATCTAAATGCCATGAAAACATGCTGGTGGGTTGTTTTATGTATTCTTGCAGGAAGTTTCAAGACTTTCAAGCAGCTTTGTTAATTTGATCATTTAGCAACAAAAACAAATTATAAGACTGAAAAGATCAACACAATACATTCGATGAATATCTCAAAACATTCTGCTTCCTTATTTTCTAATTAGACTATTTTGCCATAACTCAATAATTCATTTTTTTTAAGGAAAAGATGCAATAACTACAATATGACATTTAAGTTCATGCATGTTATGGGAATGATACAGCATTGAATTTCTTTTGTCAAATTTACCGATTTGATAAGTGGACCATATGAACAAATTAACACATATAAAATTAGCATTAAATTCAGAATTAATATGTTCCAAATTACTTTATTTACAAACTCATAAAGTAAAGATATGTCCATGAAGACAAAAACTGCCGTTACTGAAAAGGAATGCAAACATTTTGTATTAGATTTGGGGTTTCTGTTATTCCCATTATTAAATCTCTGCTCGCAGATCAAGTGAGTTGAATAAGTGTTTTCTTCATCAAAATTGTAAACCCAATACACAGATGTATAACTGCATCTGCAGCTGATCAATATCAATGTAAACACAAACATAAACAAAGATGTAACATTTATACATGCTGCCTGTTTTCCATATAAACTGGAAATATACCATTTTGATAACCAACCAGATAAAACATGCTAAATTTCAATGTTGTGGCTAAGTCAGGTGCACTCAATTTGTAATCGATCAGTTGGATAACTGTAACTTAAGCACACATTTTCAACTTTATTTACTAATTATTAAAGCAGGCACTTAAGCATAGTGATGCATGTGCCAGTTGATTGTTTGTAACTACTTTTCATAAAAAAGATCTTTCTATTTCTTTAATTAACAAGAGGCTCATGAGAGCCTGATATCGCTCACTTGGCTGTAATTTCAGTTTCAGGCATTTGACTTATTTGTGGATCTTACTTTGATGAACAATTTTGTCATTTACACTTTCTCTCTTTCTATAATAATATTGAAGATAAAGCATAACCCAAAACTGTAAAATTTCCTAAAAATTAACTATTTCTGGACAGTAACCCAACAATAAGTTGTCCTATTGGTCTGAAGATTACTTGAAAGGTAGATGTAAACCTGTTTAACACTTTCACCTATGTCAGTTTTGCTCTTGCTGCTTTAGTTTTTGAGATGAAAGCCAAAAACTTAATTCGACATCTATGTTCTATTTTTAGAAACTGCCGTCCATATTTTTGAATGGATCAAATCCCAGAATACAATCTATAAACTAGATACCCTAAGGAACATTCATTTAAAGTTTTTAAGTATTTGGCAAAGTACCGGTTTCAGGCCGGGTGAGCTAAAAGGAAACAATATTGATACCATTAATTAAACTAATGGAAGAATTTGTTGTTGATGTCATACCTTTGGTAGTCCCTGCTTATCTAAGACTTATCCAAACTGCAGGCAGTAATTTATTACCCAGTGTATCAAATGGTATAAGACTCTTATTAAGACCTGATCTATTGCTGATGACATTATATTGACCTGGAGATTTGTTGAATTGTAAACCCAAAATACAAATGTACATAGGCATCTGCAGCTGATCGATATGAATGTAAACACAAACATAAAGCATAAACTATTGACACACAGATATGTCTTACTTTTTTGTAATTTGATAGTGTAATGCAAAGGTTAAATTTAAATGGCAATACTTTAAAATGTAAACAATGCAACCTGCATACCAAATACCATTGACTTATCATAAGTGGTTCCCAAATAATCTCCATGGAAATGAGATGTGCCAATGCTAATACAACTGCATACCAAATATCATTGACCTACCACTAGTGGTTCCCCTTAAATTGACCTAATCACAAACTGAAACATTATTGACGCCACTGCTGCCACCTCCCCTCCCCTGGAAACAGCAAGCCTTAAAGTCTTACTTTTTTTACTTTGTCGAGGAGAGACAAAAATTGATGAGTAGCTGCCTCATTGTGATATACCAAACTTTTCCTTTAACTTGTATCTTCACATTTTTTTTCAAAATTTGTTTCTATCTTAATTCTTAAATAAAAAGAGTAATCTATATTTTATTCACAAATTCCATCAATTATGCTGTAAGATTGAAAGCTGTCTGTGTTGTCTGAAAAACAGATTTTATTCCCTGCTCAAAACTCTTTCAATAGAATCTTATTTAAATTGAATTTTGCTGTAAGCATATTTTGACTTCCTAATGAGCTTTTGTTGAGAAGGACAGATATAACTTGAATCCAGCTAATTAGTTTTTTTGGTTGTTAACATATACAACTAATGTAGTAAAATCGAAATTCAAGACTTTTGATTTTCAATAATAGGTTGCAGAATTTGTTAAAGAGAGTCTCATTGTGAATTTTATATGTTTTATGTTTTTAATTCAAGGTTTAAACCTTGTCATTAATCTGTAATATTGGTATTAAGAAGTATGGTATAGCATCTATATGAGACTTGAAGGTACTTTCCTAGACTTCCCCAAGACATATTAACATGCTTTTGTATGAAGAATCAGCAGATACTTACATAAAATAATTAGTGAAGGCAAAACCCTTTAACTAGCCTGCAATTGCTGCTGTCAGTGTATAGTGACATGTTGACTGTAAAAAGTGAATGCATTTATCAGTAAAATACAGTATTAAAAAAAATCAAACTTTTTCTTTAGATGTTAATTCTTGATCTTGAAGTTAAAGCTTCTATCCAAGTTTCATAACAACCAATGAAGGTTTACAAAATTTATCATGTCAAAAAAATTTAATTCCTGGCTGTCCATCTATCAGAAAAATACTAAATATGAAAATGATATACTTTCAAAAGTTTGCTTCATTATCTTTTAATCATAAAAAAGCTTCTGTCAAAGTTTCATAAAATTCTATAAAGGTTTGACAAAGTAATCGATGAGTAACAAACTTTAACCCCAGAATGTGTCCACTTGTTATCCAATAAAAAAACTAAGTCCATTTATGAGTAAATTGTGGAAAATGAAAACCACAAACTGAACCCAAATGTTGAAGATAAGCAACAAAATATCTGTTCCTTTGATATGTTATTATTTCCAATCAGTTCATGTGGTTTACTCAGTTAACATAGACTGTTTATTTAACACAAACAGTAGCATTTTTTAATTGAGTTAACTTAATACATTATGCGTTTCCTTTAAAAATTCAGCGTACCACTTGAACTTTGCTCCAAAAATCACTTTGTAAATAAACATAATTCATAATCTGTAACTTGACCTCTGGAAAATTAGGGAAAGAGGTCATGGTCCTATGCCATATAGATATATACTTGATACAACAACTCCACACACCAAATATTAAAGCTCTGTCCTGTAAATGTTACAGAGAAACAAGACCAGAACACTTAGATCATGAACATGAGGTAATGGTCATTTTTTTAAAAGGACGTTTTTTATAAAATACTACATTTTGTACCTCAAATTAATATTTACCAGTAGTTTAATAAGGTGAAAGACAAAATTAGAAATAAAAAATCTACTATTTACATAGTGCTCTTCTTATCAGTTTATTACATGACATTTTTCATATCAGATGTATTATCAGCCCAAGAGCCTTCGCCAAGAGCCGAAGGTTCGAGGGCTGAAATTGACCAAGGGCTGATAATACATCCGCTATGAAAAATGACATGTTATGATCTTTTTATCATATGCTTCCACAATGGAGAAAAATAACAGTTTAATATATTGATCCTTTTAAGTGGTTCTCAAGTAGAAGTTCAAAAAGTGAAAAGTTTACAGACCACAGACGCCAAATGTAATACATCAGATATGAAGTCTTTCTATCATATGCCTCAACAGAGGAGAAACACAACAGTATACAATGTAATATATTTTTATATTCACAATACAAAAAAAAGCAACAAAACAAAATGAACACTGTTTGGAAAAGTCAACATTTGTAAAGTAACTTGCTAAATTAAGCTGGAAACTTTGAAAAATGTATGTATTGTATCATTTGTTTTGCATTTTACATGATATATTTTCCTGTTTCCTAATATTTGTTTTGTACCCTACTTTGTTATGTTTTTCACTGAAAATGTACCATTGAGATGTATTTTCCATAATTTGCTGGATAATGCCGGAATGCCATGCGATAACGTTACGGAAAGGCATGCGATAATAGCCGCAAGCAGTTGATAAATTTTTCATATCAGCCTGCTAATCACCATTTTGGAAAATATGGAATTCACGTAAATTTAATACTATTATCATACTATAAAAATTATAAGTTATTTACTATAAGTATATGATAAGGAGCAATATTCAATTGGTACAATAATGACTAAAAGTTTAGAGAGTAAAATTGATTGATTGTTGGTTTTTTATGCCACCTTCCAACATAATTGGGATCTCCTGGTAAGTGGAAGTTATAAAAGAACAGAGTTCTAATGTCCCCTGCGGTGCACATATCTTATCTGTAACTTTTTTTTGTTGTTCTTCATAACATTTTATAATTATCTCAAAGAAATGAAGGCTTGAGAGCAAATGCATTTCAGTTTCCAATATAAATAATATTTCTAAGGTGTATAGCTCTTTTTAAAATTATTGATTGGCACTGATTTTTGAAATGTCCAAGACATTGCTGATCTAACCCTTTGATATAATTTTGATAAAAATCTGACAAAAATTGTACATGTGAGAGTGCTTATAATGCAATTTTCCATATAATTAATATTTCCAAGGGGAACAACTCTTATAAAAACAGTTGATCGCCAGTATATCCAAACTTATCCGAGACATTGCTGATATAAACCTATGATATAATTTTTATAAAAATCAAACAAGAATTGTACAGGAAAGTGTGCTAACCAGACTGAATGGACAGACCAGGGGACAGATGCCTGGTATCTCTACCCCCCTCCCGCGCCAATGTGTTGAGGAAAAACAATGACAAATTCCAGTTATGGTACAATATGCGAAAAATTTACTGAAATCTGACAATCAAAGTCCCATAACTCTAAAGCGACAAACAAGAAAATCAAATGAATTAAAAGATAGCTTCCTTTTCATCAACCCCAACAATAGAGTAAAGTTTGGAGGCAATCAATTCATGAATACTGGAGTTGGTGTGCTATTTGTGAAATATTGCCTGAAATGTAAAAGTTAAAGTTTCGTAACTTTGGAACAACAAACTTGAAAATTGAAAAAATCACAAGGGGGCTTCCTGTCAATTCAGAAACACTGGAGTTAGGTCGCAACTTATGAAAAATTGCTGTAAATCTAAAGGTCAAAGATCAGTATCACTGGAACGGCAAATCCAAAAATAAAAAAAATGCAAAAGGAGCTTTCTGCTGTCAATACTAATGTTGTGTTAAATTTAAATGAGTATTGGTTAGAGCAAAGTTAAGTTATCATACAATGTGTAAACAGACGGACGGACTGACAATGGTATACCACAATTGGTTCCGGTCTTCAACGCACATACAAAAACTAAAAGCGCTAATTAATTTTCAACAGAAAAGATAAAAACCTACTAAGTAACTTAGCAGGCAAAAGCAAGGTCACATAATATCAGACATGTAGCTTTAAATCATCAAAGAATTATAGGCTTTAAAAAAGAGAGTTATAAGAAATAAAACTGAACTTAATCCTCCTACATACTCCAGTGGTATAATTTATATGATCTTGTTAGTGTATATTAGAAGGCAGTTATTTCTCCCTAGAGGGAAGTCCTCTAATTTATCATGTAAGTGATTAAAGCCTTGATGGGATAAATCATAACTTAGCTGTTGTATTCCCACCAGCTAATTAACTCTCATACTCTGTATGTAATTTGTTATTTGATAAATGTCATTTTGATCTTTATAATTTTTCCTGCAAAACAAATTAAAAATGGCTACCTGTTTAAAGTTGTCTTTATAACAAGACAGATAATAGAAAACAATATCAGCTGTTGCTGCTTATAGAATGTCTTATAATAGTAGGCAAGACCAATATCACAAAAAGGTTCACAACAATTAAAGAAATGTTTTTCAGTTTTGGTCCCACACCAATCAAATCATTGAAACTAGGCACATTACACAGTCAAAACACAAAAATCATAAAAAGAGTCACTAAGGGTTTTGATCCCACAGTAATTTTTTCACAATAACTTAAAAACAAGCTTTTTCTTATCTAGTCAATTCAAATATGTAAGTAAAAACATACCTTTATGTGCTTCTTTTAGAGATAAATGGTGTCGAAATTTTTCATATCTTCTTGAACGTTTCTTGGACAATTCTCATCCTTTCGACAGTCTTTTTGTTTCAAAAAGGTAAAATTATTTGGAAGATCTTCTTTAAAAAAATATGCTCTAAATTTGTGTAAGAATTCTTTGGAAAAGATTCAATCTTGTTAAATTTTCAAGATTTAAAAAAAACAAAACATCATTTTTACTGCATATCTGTTAAAATAAAATGCTTCGCTGAGCGCAGCCTGATAAGACCGCAGAGGTCGAACCCTGAACAGTTGGGGCAAATTTGGACACAATATTCAAGCTTGATACTGTCTGAATTTGGATTGTGATCAAATTTTTGACATAATATAGGTTTCTGACACAAAATAAATGTGGTTAAAGATCTTATAAATCCATTGCGCAATACTGTCTTCTTGAAACTCTTCAAAAATTCGAAATTTTAAAAATTTTGAAAAAAAAATATGAATCCCTTAAAAAAATTGGGAAAAAAATCCCCCCCCCCCCCCCAATTTTTTTGAAACCCCTCTTGGAGCAATAACCCCAAAACTCAATCCCAGCCTTTCCTTTGTAGTATGGAACCTTGTAGTACAATTTCAGAGAGATCCATACACTTACACACAAGTTATTGTTTGGAAACTAGAAAAATGCTTGTTTTTGGCCCCTAATTCCTACATGTTTGGGACAATTAACCCCAAACTCAATCCCAGCCTTCCCTTTGTTATATGGAACCTTGTGGTACAATGTCATAGAGATCTATACACTTACACACAAGTTATTGTCTGGAAACTAGAAAAATGTTTGTTTTTGGCCCTTAATTCCTAAACTGTTGGCCCCCATAACCCCTACAATGAATCCCAACCTTCTACTTGTGGTATTAAACATTGTGGTACAATTTCAGAGCAATCGAAATACTTATACACAAATTATTATCCTGAAACTAGAAAAATGCTTGTTTTTGGCCCCTTTTTGGGGCTTTAATTCCTAAATGGTTGGGACCATCATCCCAAAAAATCAATCCCAACCTTCCTTTTGTGGTATTGAACCTTCTTAAAAAATTTCATAGAGATCCATTCACTTAAACTAAAGTTATTGTCCGGAAACCAACGTGTCTTCAGACGACGACATCATACGATCCCAAAAAAATTTTTCCGGTCGTATAAAAAAATTAATCAATGGTTTGTTGATACAAATTTGTACAAATAAATCTTCATAAATAATCAAGCCAAATGTCATTTTTAAACAAGCATTCTGAGAGTATTGCATGGCAATACATAGTCCCCTACCACTTAAAAATTCATTGTACTGGAACAAAATGCTAACTTGATCTATAACTCCTCATGGTGTAAACTATATAACAAATATCATGTAAATATCTTCAAGCATTATGAAAAAAAGTGAGGAAAACTGATTATTTATGTGAATTTTCTAAGTCCAAGGACCATAACTCTGCACAAAATCATCAGACCGGAACAAAATTTCGAACTTGATCTGTAACTTGTCATGATAAAACTATATACCAATTATCAAATCAATATATTCAAGCATGACGAAAAAAAGTGTGGAAAACTGATTATTTGGTATAAAATTCAAACTTTATCTGTAACTTGTCATGTTAAAACAATACACTAAATATTTTGCCAGACTGACCGACAGACGAACGGAAGACAGACAGACAGACAGAGAGACAGAGACAGAGACAGAGACAGAGACAGACCGACAGACAGACAGACAGACACCAGACACCAGACACCAGATACACTGACAGACCTAAAGTCCACTTCGACGGTAGGGACTAAAAAGAGAGGTCCACGAACTTGTTTTGATGATTAAAATCAGTCGCAAAAAAACATCTTTTCCAAATTTGTCACAGATTGACAAAATAACGTTTTACGTTAGTGACATCATAACCTCCCTGTAACTATGATATGCACTCAAGATTTGTAATAACAATGGATCAACTTTGTCATAAATTCTCCAGGAAATAACAAAACTAAAATAATTGGCCCAAAATTTATTGCAAATTTAAAACACATACATGATTTTATAGTTGCCTGAACATAATTTAACAATTGAAACTGCGAGCTACTGCTCACTGATGATACCCCAGCCCAAATATTTCGGTAAACAGGAAGTTGTTGAGTGATGAATCTGAAAACACATCACACGGTATAGATGACTTATACAAACCCTGAAACCAAATTTCAGAAATCCTTGTATTGTAGTTCCTGAGAAAAATGTGACGAAAATTTTCAACTTGGCTATCATGTGTAAAATGATACAAGTGTTCGTTAACAGGAAGTTGTTGAGTGATGAATCTGAAAACACATCACACAGTATAGCTGACTTATATAACCCTGAAATCAAATTTCAGAAATCTTTGTAATGTAGTTCCTGAGAAAGATGCGACGAAAATATTCATGGGACGGATGGACTGACGGATGGATGGACAGACAGACAGAGGTTAAGCGGGGGTATAATTAAAAGGTGTTCAGAACAAAAGGCAAACAGATGATAGATATGGTGCATAAATTCATCACACAAAATCCCTAAACACACTTGACAAAACACAAAGCAAACAAAGGGTGCTTTTAATGCAGTTCTTTATCTCAAAGTAACAGTATGGCCTTCAAAATAGAGCAAAAATTCACACCTCACTAAAATTTCAAGACAGCCCCTAGCTCTCACCTCAAGCAATGCATAATCGTGATATAACCCACTTGTATAGTACATGTAACACATAATTTCTTACCTGTATTACAAGGAAGTGACAGCACAATTGCACCACAAAAACCTTTACTGAAGTAACATAATGTCATCTGAAACAAAAACATTATTACATATAATATAAGATAATTAATGAAATAAATATATCTAACAAAACTATATAAACACCTGTAATCTAAGCCTTGTAGGCTATATTATTAATAACTGTATAGCATATATCTTTGATCTCTTAACAGTGATCTTGCTCACTTTCACAGTTCTTCCCTTTGTAAATTGAAAATTTGAAGAATTTGCCGAATATTTACAAGCAGGGGTATATGTGTCTTCATTTATTTTTCTCATGAATGGGCTCAGATAGAGATAGAAGAGATAGTTGGCCAATTGATATTGTGAAAGGACAAATCCTCTTGGATAAGCAAAGTTTTGACTTTTGCTTAAGTACAGCTTTTCTAATTTCAGGGAGGGGGGGGGGGGGGGGGGGGGGGGGCTTGGGGTGGTTATGGTTTTTTCCTAAAAAAAATATTCTGATCCCCAGTTTGATGAAAACAAATATTGTGGTCAAGCAGATGACAGAAAAAAAATATTCTGAATCTAGATTTTCCCCATACCATATAGTGTTAAATTTTGAAAAAAATAATTTGATTGATAGCGTCGAAAAAAATGTTCGCAAAAATTTTTCAGACAAAACACCATAGCCCCCCCCCCCCTTAAAGTTAAATGGTTACTCCCTAAGCTGACTCAGACTAAAAACTTCAGTAAGCCTTTTACTATATTTGTGACTTGCTATGTGGGAAATATAACACTAATATAAATCAAACTAATAAATAAAAGAGAGGTGAAAGATACCAAAGGGACATTCAAACTCATAAACTTCCACAAATTTCATCCAGAACAATTGTACTAATCAGCGTATGCAACCGTAATAAGCTGCTTGGATTTCTAAATATGCTTAAAAAAGGGATTATTAACAAATTTCCATCTTCTTATGTACTCCTTCTCACTGTACTGATTAATCCAAGAAACTTATAAAATTAACACAATGGCAATATAAGAATTATATATATAGAAGGTATTTTATCACAAAAATTCCACATGTTTCATGTGAACAACTATCCATAAATATAATTGGTGTAACAAGATAATAATATAAGATAAGCAATCAACCAGGCAAATTATTGCAATTGTGATATGTTTTATGATGATGCATCATAAGATTTGAACCTTTGTTATAACTACAGCTTTGATTACAAGATAATCCTCAACTATTATTATTCATAGCAAATTTTAACAGAATGTTTGGTAAGACAGTACATTGTACTACCCAAAACATAAGATTTAATGTAAATATATATGTCATATGACCAATTCTTAATAAAAAATAAATGGGGAATATGTCCATGGGACACAGATGATGTCGCCGCTTGCATATCATATAAAGTTATAAAGGGACATAACTGAAGAACGGTAAAAGTGACGCTACCCAAATTTGTACTTGATCTGAGTTTTGTGGTAATAAGTATTGTGTATAAGTTTCATAATATTTGGTTGATACAAACTTAAGTTAGAGAACGGAAACGAAAAATTCAGCAATTTTTCCATTTGTACAGGGGCATAACTCTAGAACAGTAAAAGTGAAACCACCAAAATTCAGACTTGATCTAAATTTTGTGGTTATAAGCATTGTGTATAAGTTTCATAGCATTTGGTTGAGGCTAACTTAATTAAGAGAACAGAAACGAAAAATTGTAACCAGGCATAACTCTACAACGGTTAAAGTGACACTACCAAAATTCAAACTTGATCTGTATTTTGTGGAAATAAGCATTGGGTATAAGTTTCATAACATTTGGTTGAGGCAAATTAAAGTTGGAGAACGGAAATGAAAAATTCAGCAATTTTTCCATTTGTAAAGGGGCATAACTCTAGAACGGTTAAAGTGACACCACCAAAATTTAAACCTGATCTGTGTTTTGTGGTAATAAGCATTGTGTATAAGTTAATAACATTTGGTTAAGGCAAACTAAAGTAAAAGAACAGAAACCAACTTTGAGACGTAGTTACAGACGGACAAGGGTAAAACTTAATGCCCTCTCCGCTACGGCGGGGGCATAAAAATCTTTAAACGCCCATTATTAAAGTTTAACACCGCCACATTCTGTATGTGTCTGTCCCTTAAGCCAAGTGCCTGTCATTTCTTGGACATTGCAAGCAAGAGTTGTTGTTACAGTTCGACATGTATTGTCACAAGTTAACATCCCCATTCTGACCTGATGCGACTGTGTATAAATACATCACTTACTCTTGCAAGAGTTGTAATTCTGATGTAATTTCGACCAAACAATTTAACACCTAAACAATTATTACTGATGAAAAGAATGTATTTTGTTTTCATCAGTGGTGTAACCTTGCAACTACTCTGTCATCAGCCTAGAACTTATATTCAACAATTAAATCTTTTACAAACACTCCCTAATAGGGATTTTGATGTAATTCAGATTAGGAAAATGCTTTAGAGTGTAGATTTCTAATTACCAATATTTCATATTTTGATAACTGCTTATCTGCTGTTCACTTGAAAAAATCTATTTCTATTTTTCTTCTAAATACAATGATGAACTGATCAAATTAAGATTATCTTGATCTAGTATTTATCTGATGATAACATTTTTCATTTCAAATGAAGGTTTCTTTCAATACAACCAGTAAGTGGCCTCCAACTTTTGAGAATCTGACTTGTTTTCATAAAATTAACTTCTTTCATTCACTTAAAGCAGTCGACTTATTCTGATGTATTTTTCTCAATTTTGATACAAATCACTTAAACTTAAAACTAGTTATAAATATAATAAAGCACCATCTACATTGAACTATTTCAGGTACAATCTAAGAAAAATGATTAAAAAAAAAAACATATTAGATTTAAAAAATAATGTGAAAATATAATAGATTTCAAACATTAAGTTAGCTCCAAAACAAATCTTTAGTTCCTTAGTGGAATGATCATGTTAATGCCTACTTTCACAACATAATGTTGCATTTTTCAACCATGTGAAAATTCAGTTCAGACAAAAATATTACTACAGAGTTAATGACAACTATTGAGGTCACTATAATAGAATCATTTTATTCTGATTTGAAAAAAAATAAAAAGTAGAAAAAATGTGACAATGATATTCCGTCTTATTAAGTGTAATGTCTATCATGTAGTAGCTTATTCCATAAGTGACAGTAACTGTTCCATGAACTCATAAAAATATCATGCAAAAATCACCACTAGTAACCTGTTTTTCCATGCTAATAATAATTATTATTATTATTAAAAAAAAAATGGTCATGCTTTTCTCTGACTGTTAATGAAATCTTTACACTAAATCCATTGGAAGTTGGATGTGTACTGATTGATATTTTAGTCTTAGATACATGATTTTTTTATTAGTTGTTATTGGCTTTGAACTAGCTGTCAGTAACTGAGAGTACTCTCAGATATGTACTTAGTGTCTTTTTTTGTTGTGAGGGATGTATAAAGTCATTTCCATGTCCAATCTGTGTTTTTGTTAGATGTTTTCCTGCTTAGCATCAATCTGAGGAGTTAAGTCCTTTTCATCTTAGCATCAATCTGAGGAGTTAAGTCCTTTTCATCTGATTTTGATAGTTTGTTCTTATATTGTACTATTACACTACTGTCCCTGATTAGGGGAGGGTTGGTGCCTTCAAACATGTTTAACCCTGCCACATTCTTTATGTGCCTGTCCCAAGTTAGGAGCCTGTAGTTCAGTTGTTGTCACTGGTTCATGTCATACTTGTTTTTAACCGGATTATGAAGGAAAAATCAGGTTATTGATTTGGGGATGTACAGCAGGCGGGCAGGCAGGCGGCTGCCAAACAGTGTCCGTTCATTTTCATGAAAACGCTTTGATGAATTTTTTTTCAAATTTTGATATGGTGTTTCCTGTGACTAAAATAAGGTCATGTTCAATTTTAATGACTTTAGCTTTTGTCATCTTTGAATTTTGGACCCTTTTAGAAACCAGAAATTTACTTCTTATGAGATTGAGTTATTTCCCTTTGAACAGAAATTAATAAGTTTATGTATAGCTGAGATGTATAGATAGTCTATCAATGTGTATCTGTTCAATTGATTAGTCAGGAGTTGTCAAACATTTATAACTATTTGTTTTTAAGTCATGTGTGTTTTGAAGGTAGATGTCACAATTGTTATGTGGTATTTTATTTTTGTTGTGTGTATTAATGTTAAATTTTTACTTGATCATGTTTGGGTGTCCAGATTTGCAAATATCATTTTCATTAGATAATAATCTATTTTTATTAAAAGATATATTTCATTACATTACATTGTGTAGATAAAGTTGTTGACATTGATAGATAAGTTGCAGATAAGATATTAGTATGTGACAAATGAAAGAAAAAGTATTGGGAACTATTAATTATATTTGATTATAATTTGAAAACATCATATCTAATTTTTTAGTGGTGAAATCATATCTAATTTTAGATTTGCATTACTGGTTCATGGAAACAAGTTTGAGTTATTTCCCTTTGAACAGAAATTGTTTTAATTAATAAGTATTTCTTCAAAAATTGAATTTTTGGGTTCTTTGGTGAGCTGATTCTAACAATGTACTTAGATTTTGGACATTGGATCATAATAGGTAAATGTCCAATTTTTTAATTTTTCAGTTCTTTGACCATATTTATTTTGTGTCACAAACCTATGCTCTGACAGCCTCTTGTTTGTAAATAGTTTGATTATAAACTAGGCCGTTAGTTTTCTCAGTTGAATTGTTACATATTTTTCATGTCTGGGCTTTTATAGCAGACTTTACTTTATGAGTTTTTCTCATTGTTGAAGCCATACTTTTGCTTATAGTTGTTTACATCCACTTCATTCAAACTTTGATGGATAGTTGTCTCATTGGCAATCATACCACATATCCTTATTTTCATAAAGTTCGAGTCTTTTGTTTTAGACCTAACTTTTGGTAACCCCTGTGACTTATGTCACAAAAATTCCAAATTGAGTTCCTGTTGGAGAATATTCTAGAAAAACTATGTGAATTTATGATGGTAACTG